GCAAAAAAACATATGGCTCTCTTGAGAATTAAGGTTAGCACTATTTATTGCTCAGTATTATATCCCAAGAAGCCTTTGAATTATCAATCAACAGGAAACATATTTGCTTATTTTCTGTTAAAAATGTCTAACAGTAAGGGTCAGCACTAAAAGAGCAATGAATCTGCATAAAGTGACACTAACATGAGAAAACATAAATATTTAATGAATACCTGGTTTTATTTTGGTTCTCTAGTAAAAACAAATCTAAAACAGCTCAGAAAATATTCCAAGGTCCTGTCTAGATTGCATCTCCAATATAGAAAGGACATGTTTGAGAAATTTTTTCCTAAATGAGATCCAAGGGTAAGGACACAGACCTAAGGCTTATTCTAAGCACAAAAAGAACCAGGAAGACATTTACTGCACAAACTGAAAATTCTTTTTAACTTCTCCATGTTTTGTTTCATCCTGTTTTCCCTTGGTAATTGTAAAACCCTTAGAAAAAAACCCTACATCTTTGGAGGCAGGAAAGAGGGAAGCTGGAGAAAACAGGTCCCTCTCTTAAGTTTGCAGAAGAAAAAAAAAGCAGCTCAAGGAACAGAACAAAAGGAACATACTAGTAAGGGTTCCTGGGCTTTTGCCAAAAGAGAACAGGAGACTAATCTTGGTGAAGAAGGAACCCTCTTGTTTCCTGCCATGAGCTTATGGTGTCTATAGGATGCAGAGGTGCCAGATGTAGTCAATGCTGCAGAGGAAGACACGGTGTGTAGATGCTAAACAGTGGTGAGGGCACAGACCTAAGCCTTAGTCTAAGCACAAGAACCAAGGAGACACTGACTGCACAAACTGTGCCAGTTTACTAAAATATTCTCCTTTTTTGCCTACCTGCCATTTCCATATTTCCCTCTTATCAATCTGTGGCAGACTGTAGTCAGTATATTCTGGTAGGAAAGACAAGGCTATGTATGGGTGGGGTCTGAAAGGGAGAGTTTTCAAATAGGTCTGGATGAATACCATTTTTTTTTTTAGGTTTTGAATATTGTCATAGACATGATTTAATTGGAAATTCTAATTCTTTATTCTATTTTCAAAATGTAACTTCTATCATTCAGTTTTAAGCAAGCCAATTTTGAACCTAAAAGCAACCTGAAGAAAAAAGTCTAAATAAGGCTCAGGCTTCCTAAATTCCAAGAAAACTAGGGGTACAAATATTTACAATTTATAATTTCATCCAGAAATGCTTATCACGGTTATGGCTAAAGGATAATTTCACAATCACAGGAAAAGATCTTTCCCAACGATTAAATGCTCATGATCTTACTGGCTTGGTCACCAAGAACAAATTATTCCAAAGGAACCTCAATTATTTAATCCTTAAGATACTTAAGGCAATGGAGAGATATGAGGTGGCTGCTAAGACGCAGAAGCTGAAGAGTTTGGTGAAGTCTGAGCCCTGCATTTGGCACTTCCACCTTCAAAGCTCCAAGTCAACAGAGAACTGCAGAAAAGCAACCTGAATTCCTAAGGCTAGACCAAAGCTCTCCAATAAATATACAATGCCAGCCACAAATATGACTAAATTTCCTGGTGGCTGTCCTAAAAAGACTAAAAGAAATAGGTGAAATAATTTTTAATCCACTGTAGTCAATCCACTGTCTCCCAAGGCAGTCCAACGTGTCATCAATATAAAATGTTTTGAAACCTCTGAAACGTCGTATTTGACACTTACAGCGCATCTCAAGAATCCCGTTGTCTCACGTGGCTAGCGGCCGCCCCCTGCACAGCACCGACCTAGGCAAATCAGAGCTGATGCGCGGAGACGCGGCCGCAGGCTCATTTCCCCAGAACTGGGACCGCTCCAAAGGTCCTCACATACCGCAGGGCCCAAGTTAATTTGCAAAAACAATCCTTTTCCATTTAGCACAGTGAGTTTAAACCCCTTCCCCCCCCCCGACCCCCCCCCCCCCGCAAGATATAGACACCCTTCCTCTCTACCAAGAAAACGGTACCGT